TCTGGATTATTTGCTCAGCATTTGGACTAAATTAGTCTGTTGAAAAAGATACAACCCTGATGCACACCTTTCCTGATTTTAAACCATTCAGTTTCCTTTTGTTCTGTTCTAACATCTGCCTCTTGGTCTATGTCTAGGTTCTACACAAGCCTGTGAAGTTTTCTGGAATTCCCATTCTTCACAATGTTATCTAGTTTGTTATGATCCACACAGTCAAATATATACAGTCAATGAAACATAAGTAAACATCTTTCTGGTATTCTTTGCTGATCTATCTGACTTCAGCAATGATATCTATCATTACATGTCCTCTTCTGAATCCAGCTTGAACTTTTGGCAGCTTCCTATTGATGTACTGCTGCTACCATTTTTGAAAATTTTACTTGCATGTGTGAATGACTTAGAAACACTAACTTAGCAAGCACAGAGATTGAAAATGATAAATTTTGAAGGGGATGTTTTTCATCCTAAATGAAAAGTCTTCACTTTGCAAAATTCACAGTATTGGAATCTTCAAGGCATGCATTTGCACACACTGGGAAGTACAGGGAAGACAAAACATCAAGGGATTGGTGACTTAGACTTCCAAGTATAAAATACAACCATCTCAAAAAACTTTGCAGTATTCTTCACCTATGAAACCAATGCTATTAATTGTTTGACCTGGCACTAGTCACATCTTTGTATTATTTACCTAATAGTCACTTGCATAAAAATAACTTACACTGGAGAGATTGTGAGCAGTGCACAATCAGGGGCTCTGGGGCTGGATTTTTTGAGCTGCTAATGCAAGGTCAAGGAGCTCTGGTAGCACAGTGGTTAGGAATCGGGCTCCGAACCATAAGGTCAGCAGTTTGAAACTACCAGCTATACCGTGGGAGAAAGATGAGGTTTTCTGCTCCCGTAAAAATTTACAGCCTCAGAAACCCTGTTCAGGGTCACTATGAGTTGGAACCAACTCCACAGCACTTAACAACAACAACAACTGCAAGGTCAATAGTTTGAGTCTACCAGCTGCTCCGCAGGAGAATGATGAGACTTTCAGCTCGTGTAAAACCCTATGCAAGGTTTCTATGAGTCAGAACCAACTTCACTGCACACAGCTACCACCACCACAGGATATAAGTAAAAAAAAAAAAAAAATCCTGATGAAAAGTGGATTTGAAAAGAAGGTAAAAATTAAGAAGGTTTTGGGAATACCCAGGCACATTGGCATAAGATAAAACCACAGATCTCCAGAGAGGAGATCACTCTGAGTTTAGGACTATGCCTGGGGAATTCTCACATTTAATCTACAGGGCGAGCAGTTTCTGAAGAGGAACCATAGGAAATGGAACCTTTTAGAGGAATCAGAAAATTATGAAAAAAATGGATAAAGCCCTCACCCAAGAGGTTTCAAAGTATTTACTTAGCGCCCGTTTGTACATCTGCTTACTGCAGGCATTTTACTATTTAGGAAGCTCTCTGCTCTCTGAAAACATACATCCTTTTAGCAATCTGCAAGGGCGAGAGATATATGCCAGTCTGTTTTCTTGTTTCTCCAAGGACACTAGCTTCATTGGAACACTTTGTCCCTTTATGGGTGGCTGTGGGAAGAGGTAGATGATCAGGTAGAAGAGGTAATAGAAGCTGTGGATAGAAACCTATCATGATGTTTGGCCATAAAGTTGAAAAGCAAACTGAAATGTCCATGGGAAGCAATGCTATCACTATGTCTGCATTCTAGACATGTTTTGAGGTGATGGTGGAGGGGCAAAGGAAATGCAGAGAGATAAGGAGATGGGCTAGGTGCTTCTGTGAGCCTGGGATCCCTCCTGAGATGGGGAGTGGAAAGCAGTTCTAAAACATGAGAGAGGGTTCACCTTTGCATAGAAAGCATCATTTTCTGTAAAGAGTACTCACTAATGAAGCGCTCCATGGATGGTTTCTAGCCCGCCTGTGAATTAGAACCTCCAGGGGAGTTCCAAAAAAAGAGCAGACTCTGGCCCCTAGGTGAATCCTCAGAGACTGACTGAATTCATCTGGGACTGCTAACAGTATTTTTAAAGGCGGCTTAAGTGATTAGGTACAAGGAGAATTGAGAATCAACTACTAGGGGAGATCCAAATGAGATGTGGGTGTCCAAGGGAAGGGAAAACCAAACAGGTCAGCTTCCACTTTTTTTTTCTCCCAGAATTTATAAGTCTTACCCAAAGTGAACCATGACCATAGGTGGTTCTTGAGAAGCCGTCTTCAGTCCTCTATCTATGTCTAGATGTAGATATGCTATTGTTAAGTGTGGTCGAGTTGATTCTGACTCATAACAAAACCTGCATAGAGTTTCCAAGAAGTGGCTGGTGTGTTCAAACTATTGACCTTGTGGTTAGCAGTCCAGTGCTTCTCCAACAGTGCCACATCAGGATTCCAGATACAGGTATTTGTTGTTGTTGTGTGCCGTGGAGTTGGTTCCGACTCATAGCGACCCTGTACAGGATTTCCGAGGCTGTAAGTCTTTATGGGGGCAGAACGCCTTGTCTTTCCCCGTGGAGCAGCTGGTAGTTTCCAACTTCTGACCTTAAGGTTCGCAGCCCGATTCGTAACCACTAAGCTACCAGAGCTCCTTAGATACAGATATAGGTAGATATAACTATATATATTTAGATGTTGGGATTGCTGTGGCTCTGTAGGATAAGCACTTAGCTGCTAACCACAAGGCTGGCAGTTCAAGTCCACCAGCTACTCCCTAGGGGAACGATGAGGCTTTCTGATCCCACGAAGAATTAAAGCCTTAGAAATCCTATATAGGGTTGCTATGAGTTGGTACTGACTGGATGGCACTTAACAACATCTAGATGTAGAGACTGCGGCCGGTGTTAAGTGCCTTTGAGTCAGTTCTGATTCATAGTGACATTGTATAGGGTTTCCAAGGCTTTTAAATCTTTGCAAGAGCAGACAGCCTCTTCCTTCTCCTGCAGAGCAGTTAGCAGGCTCAAACTGTGGACCTTGTGTTTCGCAGTCCAGCTGACTGTATGAAGCCACTGTGCTCCCAGATATAGAGACAGATCGATGGCTATATATAGATAAAGATGTAAATGCATTTAATTAAAAAATATAACCAGCATAACTAATTTGAGATTTCATGTGTCTTAATGGTTAAGGATGAGGGCAAAGTAGGTACTGTAGTTAAGAGTCTATTTCAGTGAACATTATTAAATTCCAACACAGGTGGAATGCGGATATGACAGCCACTTAAAAAAGAGGTATGCAGGCAACTGGAATTTGGGAAACATGGAGCGAATGTAGCTAACAAACCACTCATGTTCATTGCCAACAAATGCATTCTGACTCATAGCTCCCCTATACAGGCTTTCTGAGACTGTAGATCTTTACTACAGCAGTAGTCTCAGCTTCCTCCTGAGGAGCAGCTGGTGGGTTTGAAGCACCCACCGTTTGGTTAGCAGCCCAACACCTACCCACATTGTAGCCTGGTGGTGGTGGATGTGTGCCTAGAGTAGGTTCCAACGCATAGCGATTCTATATAGGGTTTCCAAGGCTGTCAATCTTTACGGAATCAGAAAGCCTCATCTTTCTCCTACAGAAAATCTGATGGACTCGAACTAACTGACCTTGCACTTAGCAGCCCAGGGCTCTTTAAAATGTAGCCTAGATCCTTTAAATTTTTTCATCACAGATCTTGCTGTTTTCTTGTCTCCCTCCCCAGTGGCTCCCTACTGCTCTCACCTGGATGCCTGAGACTGATTTAGATGCTTCTGATCTGGGCTCAAACTCCAAGCAGCCTCTCCTAGACTCTCAGTCAGGATCCGATTACTGACGTCTTAGCCTGTGACTCACGTGTGTCTCCTTTTCCAGATTCAAATCTGAGCTAAACTTAACTTAGGGCAGGAAACCAATGCTCACAAGGTGTTCCAGTCCCACAGCACGAAAGTGAAACCGAAGCACCCAAATCCAGGTTATGCAAACTCAAAGGAGGGGGTGAGGGAGAGACAAAAATCTCCAAACCTAGCAAACAAAACCAGGCTGCAGGAAAGGAAGCCTCATTACCATTCCACTATTGATTTGCCATTCACAAGGCATGATGCAAGCAAGCTCCCTTGCTCAATTTATATTTGCACATTTCCCCTTTGTCCACAATGAGCTTTAACTTTCCAACACTAGAAAATTATTTTTAAAAATTAAAAAAAAAATCATTCAAGACCCAAGTCTAAGGTTGTGTGGCAGACCTGGTGACCCCACCTTTAGCTAGTTGACACTAAGAACATTTGCTGTTGCTTGACAGACTAGTGAAAGAGAGGACACAACGCAAGCAGAGAAACATGACAACCAAGTTTCCTCTTTCCTCCACCGTTCTCACACCCACCTGGTTTGGAAACTGCCAAGGGCACCATACATAACTCACCTTTCTCCTGCTGCGTCCTGAATCCCGCTTCTCTCTCCAAGCCAAAGGGTATTAAAATGGCAAGGAAAAGAAGACACCAAGGTCTCCAGCCCTCTTTCTCTTCCTGGTGCCTCTCATCTCCTCTATCCAATCCTGGTAACCTCTGGTCACCCAGTCATCAGCTACACCTTTTCACCACCCAACAAAATGGCAGGTTAGCAACAGGCGAGGCCCAGAGCTCCTGCTCTGACTCGAGCCAAGCACGTCCCCTGGCCAAGCCGCTGGGGGTCTCTGATGGTGTCCCCAGGACTAAACACCACTCTTCCCTAGAAGCCCCCTATCCTCTGCTCCACCCGGCTGCCAAGTCGCTCTCTCGGAGTCATTCCACCAGCGGCGGGGGAGCAGGTGTTAACGTAACAGGTGCCAGGCGAGAGGGCCAGGGCAACTGCGCCGCCGCCAGGTTCCGGCTGCGCTGGACCAGGCAAGGAGCCCCGAGGGGGCGCAGGGAAGTCCACCTGGAGGGGAGGGAAGCCGGGGGAGGCAGAGGGAGACAGCCAGGGCGATCGGATGCCGCTGCCTGTCTCCGCTCGACCGGTGCACCCCGCGCCCAGGTTGCCCCACTTACAATCTCCAGGCAGACGAAGGCGCCCGAGTAGGTCCACAGGATGTTAGGGCCGGTGGGCAGTGTGACCCGGGGCGCAGGGAAGGACACGGCGGGGTTCGGGGGCGGCGGGATTGGCGCTCCGCCGGCCGACATGCTGCCGCTACCACCACTGCTGCGTCTCCGCGCGCCGCCGCAGCTCCGCCGCCCGGGATCCCGCCGCCGCCGCCACTCGGGTTCTCGGGGTCCGAGCGCGCCGCGCGGGAGGGGGCGTGGTCGCGAGGGCCTCAGGCTCACGGCGGCCCCGCCCCATCACGTGGGCCCAGGTGAGCGCGCCTCCGCCCCGGCACCCGCGTCGGTCACGTGCACAGGTGCGGTCGCTGCCTGGCGCGGGCTTTACTGGCTGACTCTCCCGGCTCTGGCCTCCACGGGCCACCACCCAGAGCTCTCAGGAGCGTCTCAACTCCGCCTGCTCTTTTGTCCTCTGTTCATTCTCTTGACTCCACCTGTTCTCTTCCACTTGTCCTCCATCCAGTGTTCACAGACCCGTCTCATTTCTTCAGTATCACAGGAGGGCCAGTTATGGGGTTGTGACTGGGCAGTAAAGTCGTAGTCATCAGCCACTTTTCAAAAGTGGGGTGAATATGTTTTAAATTAGACCATGGGTTTGTTGTTGTTTGGTACCATCGAGGCGGCAGCGACCCTATGCACTGCAGAACTAAACACTGCCCGATCCTGGGCCAACCTCACTATTGTTGCCACATTTGAGTCCATCAATGCTGCCACTTGGCCAATCCATTTCGTTGGGGGTCTTCCTCTCTTTCTCTGTCCCTCCACCTTACCAAACATGATATCCTTCTCCAGCGACTGGTCCGAAGTATGAGAGACGAAGTTTGGCCATCTTGGCCTCCAAGGAGCACTCTGGCTGCATTTCTTCCAAAACGGATCTATTGGTTCGTTTGGCAGCCCATGGCACTTTCAATATTCTCCTATAGACCATGGGAGAGGGTGTTAAAATGCCATTGGGCAGCATCGCACAAGGGGGTTGGAATCAGATCCTCACAGGTCTGAAGTTTGGGATTTCTGAAGATAACCTGTGCTAGCCCACGTGGTCTCTTCTGTCAAGTTGGGTGAAGGTAACAACCTCCAAGGAACCTGGGGCTTAGATGATACAATACAATAAAAGAGCTTAGCACGTATTTGTTGTAAGTACCTTCCCAGGGCCCCTGACTTGGGATCCTTTAAATGGCAGCTGAAAGGATTTGATGACTGCAGGTTTTTAAAAAATGTTTTATACCTTCTCATTTCACCTTATTGTGGTGCTGTGGGTTAATGCGCTGGACTGCAAAGTAGGTTGGAACCGCAAGGTTGGCGCTTCAAGCTTACCGACAGCTCCTCGGAAACCCTATACAGGGTCGCTATGGGTCAGAACCTACTCGGTGGCACTTAAGAACACACATCAAAGGGTGCTGGTGGCATAGTGGGTTATGTGCTGGGCTGCATAAATCCACTAGTGCAAATCCACTAGTGGGTCCTCTGAGAAAGATGAGGCTTTCAATTTCCATAAAGATTTGTTACTGCTAAGTGCCTTCTAGTGGGTTCCGACTCATAGTGACCCTGTATAGGGTTTCCATGTAGCAGCAGGTGGATTTGACTGCAGAACTTGTGGTTCACAGTCCAGTGCTGATAAAGACTAACAGTCTCAAAAACCCTATACAGGGCTCCTATGATCTGGAACCAACATAATGGCACATAACGATTGCAAATGCTGCATAGGCATGTATCCATAATGCTGAATAGGCATTTATATCTTCCACATGATGCCTGGTGCACGGAATCCTAGTGTGGCGCTGTGGGTTAAGGAGCCAGACTACAAAGAACTGCAAAGTCAGTAGTTCAAGCTCACCAGCTGCTCCTGGGAAGCTCTATACAGGGTTGCTATGGGTCAGAACTGACTCAACGGCACTTAACAAGGACAACAACACATGGTGCTGGTGGTGTGCGGAGCAGTCTGTTCTAACTTATAGAGACTCTGTATTGGTCTCCAAGGCTATAAATCATTGTTGTTGTTGTTATATGCTGTGGAGTCGGTTCCGACTCATGGCGACCCTGTATAGGGTTTCTGAGGCTGTAAATCTTTACGGGAGCAGAAAGCCTCATCTTTCTCCCCCAGAATGCCAGGTGGACTTGAAGTATTGATTTTAGGGTCAGCAGCCTAATGTGTAACCCCAATGTGTAACAACTCTATCACGGTTTCTTATTTTCCACATAGAACTTTAATTATTGGTTTCACCTAACCAAAACTTACCTACCATTACTGCTTGTCCTTGCAATACTTAAAAGCATTTAAAAAAAATGTTCTATGTATGGTTTCTTTACCTGTCTGTCAGTTTGTCTTACTGTGGTGACACGTACATTGCTTTGGTGCTATGCCACTGATACATCGTCAAATATTGGCAGCATGGTTACTCATGGGCAGGTTTTAGTGGAACAAATGAAACAGATGAAAACAAAGAAGGAAGAAAGATATTGATCTATTTTTGAAAATTAGTCAGTGGAAACTCTCTAGGTCACAACCAAAATTGTCTGATATAGGGCTGGAAGATTAGCTCCTGCTCTGGAAGACACTCAAAACATCAGGATAAGTAAAAAAGTATCGCTACAAAATCATGGAAACCTTTATTAAATGCCAAAATGTACAGCTATGGTTTCTTGCCATATCTTTCAAATAGGTCTATACACTTCTGAAGGTGTTGTTTTGGTCTCTCTAGCTCTTCCTTGAAGAATTCTGTGCTCTATGATTTATAACATGTCTAAACAGCAGTTTTGGCATCTTCAAGGAACTCTAATCATGTTTCTTTTCTATGTACTTTGGGTTTTAAGATCAAAAGAAGTCAGGTCAGGAGGGTAGGTAACGTTAGGTTTCCTCAGGACATTCTTGTAGGAATACCTACCCTTGTGAACTGTGAGTGATGAGCAGGCTCATTGTCATCATGGAAAAACATTCCTCAGTGCAACTTTCCTGGCCTTTTTCTCACCAGTACAGTTTTCAGTTTTCTTAAGATTTCTACCTAATAAGCCCCCGTCATTTTCCTGTAGCCTTCAAGAACATCTATCAAGATCACCCCTTTGGGATTCCCAAAACAGTTGCTGTACCTTCGGACCTGACCAAATTTAATGGCCGTTTGGAAGTTGCTGATTTGATTTGACGCGGGTTTTTTTGTTTTGTTGTTTTTTTTAAGGCACTTAAACTACAAATGTATTATCCAAAGGTAGTGTATAATACAAATGTATTATCAAAAGAAAGTGTCAGCCGCCATTTACAAATCACAGAGACATGGAATAAACTTGTACCTGTATGATTGAAACACTTGATGTAATAATTTTTTATTTATCTTCTCACATGGGGTAGCCTTGAGTCTGAACAGACTCCACAGTGACTAACAATCACGTGTATATGATTTAGATACCCTGTCCTAAATTTTCATCCTTGACTTAATGTCAAAATTTCATAAGTAAAATAAGGGGGTGTGGAATTCATTTTTTCAAAGGTCAACTGATGAGCAAAACTAGACACGGGAGCACACATGTGTAGATTGGGTTAGAGAAATATTCGTTGACAGCATCAGACACCCTTCTGCATCCTGACCTTGTCTATCGGGTTTAGTCTTTGAGGAACTATGTTTAGCTCCACGCTGTGGTTAGCAGGTTTCAGTCACTCTACCTCTTTATTATTGCAATAAGCGAAACTCATAGGTGTGGTGGACACATAGGGAAAGAGTTACAAAACAGGGCGTGGGTGAAACCTTTTGTATATACCTCCTATCTTCTCCACCACTTACTCATCCCTTTTGGATTCTTAACGTGTGGCATTTCTTGGAAATTTAATGTTTTTTGCATTGAATTGTTTAATTAAAGAACCCCCTCTGTGTTCAGAGACTCATGGGCAGAGAATGGTCTTTATTTATTTATTTATTTTTCTGCTTAAGAATATTCAAAATAAGCACTTTAAAGAATTCTCAAAGGGAAGGCCTTTAAAAAGAATTCATCAAAGCAATGCTCAACAACTATCTATGATGGGGCCAAAAACTTTTAGTGAGTAACCCTAAAATGACCTGGGAGTTCCCTGAAGTATTAATTATATAGAAGAACCTCTGTTGTGCATGATTTAAAAATTGCCACCAAGGAAAAACTTTCCGCTGAGTCTCTTCCAGCTCACATTCTGCAGTTCCTTGAATCTTGACCCATACATATGCTCCCTCGTATACCTGCTTCCACAATGCCCACTGGGAAAAAAAGATGGCCAGGGCAGATCTCTTCTATTGAAATATATATTATGTACTGAAAAATGAACTCTTTGCTAGAATGATCTTCCCATCTCATCATGGTGAATACCAAAACCTGTTTTCCGATGACAATGCAATTTTCCTTCTAATGAAGGTAATGCTTCCAGAATCAAAGGAAGAAAAACATTCACCCTACCCTGCACTTGAGTATGCTATTCTTGTGTTCTGACAAGTCACTTCTGAGTCATAGAGACTCTGTATAGGGTTTCTGAGAGCAGTTGGTGTGTTTGAACTGCCGAAATTGCAGTTCACAGATGGTCCAGGCAAGATGTCATTCTGTTGCACATAAGGTCACCATAAACTGGAGTCAACTCAGTAGCAACTATTGACCTCTATCCAGATTTCAATGCCAAGAAACTGATAAGGGATAAGGAGGGTTACTTCATAATACTAAAAAGATAAGTTTATCAAGAAGATCTAAAACTTAGAAATGGCTGTGTACCTTATGACACTGGTTTAAACATATATGATGCAAAAATGATAGACTGAAGAATAATAGAGAAATTCACAATTAAAAACAGAGATCTTACCACCCTTCTGTCCATGATGCACAGAAATAGGAAGCACACTAGTGTTGTTGTTGTTTTTATTAGGTGCCATCGAGTCAGTTCCAATGCCTATGCACAAAAGAAAGAAACATTTCCCAGTCCTTTGGCATCTTCACAATTGTTAGGATATACTCATTGCTGCTGCCACTTTGCCAGTCCATCTCATTGAGGACCTTCCTTTTCACATTGACTCTCCACTTTACCAAGCATGATGTCATTCTCTAGAGATGTGTCCCTCCTGATATATGTCCACAGTATGAGAGA